CCACAAACCCCTATGTGATTTTCCCTACACAAACCAACCACCTGCTATTTGTGTAGTCACCCTTAGCCAACTGTTCAATTGAGAAGAAAGATTTAGTAACAAATTTTAAAGACAATTTTCTATTACAAAATTGTTCCGTTACAAAATCTATCACAAAATCTATCTCTAATTTTGTCGCTAAAAGTGGCAGATTTTTTTTTGTTTAACTTTCTTTGTATTCCATTCTTGTAATCTGGCCTTTGGAATGTCTTCGAAAGCCTTTGGTGTTATCCCATCTTCCTTAGTTTAGTTTCATTTAAAGTAGCTTGCGTTTTAGACTTGTGGAAGTGGCTTGAAAATTTCATATGTTCTTCATGCTTCTAGATTAGGAGATTCGACTAGTATATGCTTTATTGCTTTCACGAATAGGAAGTGATCATAAGTTTCAAAGACTTATTGAATCATTTTAGAGTCACAAGTTATAGGTTAGAGTTTCCTTTATAAGTTGGTTTTATTCTTTGTTTAATCATGAGTAATCATTCTTCTTCACATAGTGGAAGTGATTCAAGCTCTCAAAAAAGTTTTTTTTACGTTTAGTACAATACCTTAAATCACTTAAACTATGGAGAAAGCAAGAGACTCTTGTTAAAGAAAAAGAAAGAATTGAAAGAGAAGTTCATCTTGTCATTCTTAAAGAAGAAATTAGATTAGTTAAACACAAGGAGGGAAAATTGAGAGAAAAATTGAAGAAAAAAGAGAGAGAAGGGATTGAAACATCTAGTGCTAAAGGTTGCAATTATGAAGGTAGTCTTCTAATGAGTGAGTTTTATCAACCACCACCTAGAAAGTTAGAAAAGAACCTAAAATAAGGGAATCTAAGGTTGATCTCCCTTATTTTCATGGTAAAGATGATGAGGATGCCTTCTTGCATTAGGAGATGAAGGTATAGAACAACTTTTTTACTTTTCATTAAGTAGGGGAAGAAAGAAAGGTTCCCTTAGCCACTCTAAGTTTTCAAGGACATGCTATGTATTGGTGGACTTCCCTAAAAAGAGAAAGAAGGCTCCTCATATTATGGAAGGGAGCTAATGGATAAGTTCCAAAGGCTCCAACAAAGAAATATAAGTGTTGAAGAATATAGGCAGAAAATAGAGATTTATATAATGAGAGTATGAATTACAAAGGAAGAGAGGTTCACCATAGCTAGATTTTTAAGTAGTCTTAATCTTGAGAGTAGAGATAAACTGGAAATCCTACCTTATAGGGACTTGAATGATCTAGTCCAACTTTGCATTAATGTGGAGCAACAATTATTGAGAAAATCTTCTAAGATTGTCCACTCTAACTCTTATCCTAAGAAAGACTATAATAAGGAAGGAAATTCTTTCCAGAATTATTCCAATAGTGAGTCCTCTAAAGAAAAAGATAAAGATAAAGATAGGGGAAAAGGGAAAATCATTTCATGCACTAGCTCTAAGATTGGTGAGATAAGTGCTTTAAGTGTTTAGGGAGAGACCACATTACATCTCAATGCCCTACTAAAAAGACTATGATATTAATGGGTAATGACATTTATAGTGATGAATCTTGTTGTTCTAGTGAAAGTGAAGAAGATAGTGAAGGTAAAGTAGAACAAGTTGTTCCTTATGATCGAGATCTTGTGATGGTTAGAAGACTTCTTGGAAGTTAACCTAAAGTAGAACCAATGTCACAAAGAAAGAATATTTTTCATGTTATATGTAATATTTCTAATAAAGTTTGTTCTCTCATTGTGGATAGTAGATCTTGTTGCAATTGTTGTAGCATAAGATTGGTAGAAAAGCTAAGTCTTACCATCATTCCTCATCCCAAACCTTATAAACTTCATTGGCTTAATGATGATGGGGATTTGGTGGTTGATCAACAAGTCAATGTCAAGTTTTCGATAGGCAATTATAAAGATCAAGTCACTAGTAGAAAAAGGGTAATTCACGTCACTGTATTCTCGTCGGACAAAGAAAAATCCGACGTTAAAAAAATGCGGTGGCATTTTTGTAATTAAGTCCAACATTTTTACGTCAGCCCCTATGAGATCCGACGTAAAATATTTACAAATTTCAAACTGTATTCGCGCGCGCGTCAATATTTAAACAAGAGAGCTTTGAGTGTAAGTGTCATTCGAGTTTTCTGAGTTAAGATTTTGTTTGAGTGTATTGCATCTGAGTGTATGTTTGCGTGTTTGGGTAATTCTTGAGTTTTTGACCAATTGCATTGGGCTCGCGTTTGAGGTTAGTTTGGAAAATCCTTTCTTAATATATCAGCTTATATGTTGAAAATAAATGTATGTATTTATCTATTAATATACTAGTTAATATTATCATCTTCTTCGCGTTTGGCTGAATCATCGTTTGTTAATACAAGTAGAAAATGCTTTGCGCGTGGGTGGATCTGCAAGCAAAGTGGGTGGATCTGCAGTAGAACGGGCCATTCTCCGAGCAGAACGGGCTGTTCTCCGAGCAGAACGGGCCGTTCTGCTTGTAGAACGGGTTGTTCTGCTTGTAGAACGGACCGTTCTGCTTGCTATTTTTTTTTGTTTCCAACTTTTTTACGTCGGCTCTTGTGAATTTTCGACGTAAATTTACGTCAGCTATCACAGCCGATGTAATTTTTCGTCTCCTGCATTTACGTCGGACCTGTTTCTGACGTAAAAAGCTTAAAATAAGTGACGTAAATTACCCTTTTTGTACTAGTGAGTTACATGTGATGTAGTGCCTATGAAAGCTTGTCATATCTTATTAGGAAGGCCTTGGGAATTTGATAAGAAATTCATGCACAATGGCCATACTAATGAGATAAGCTTCACATATAGAGAAAATAAATTTGTACTTACTCCTTTATCACCTAGACAAGTGGTAGAGGACCAAGTTCAAATGAAAAACAAAAAAGAGGAAAAGAAAAAAGAAAAGAAAAGAGCAATTCTTCCAAAAGGAGAAATATAAAGGAGTTAATAGCACTTCCTTAGAGGTCCTTCAAAAGGAGAACATTTTTGCTAACAAGCATGAATTTAAGCAAACTCTCCTTATTGAACAACCTATTTATCTTCTCCTTTACAGGAATACTCTTGTGCGCACTGCCATATCATTTGGAAATGAAACTCTTCCTAGTAAAATAGTCCACTAGTGATGGGTCTGAAAGTACTACCTCCTTTTAGGGTTATAAGACATCAAATAAATCTTGCTCCTGAAGCTAGCCTACCCAACAGGCATGCTTATAGGACAAATTTCCAATAAACTAATGAAATAGAGTCTCAAGTTCAAGAATTGGATAAGGATTAGGTTCAAAAGAGTCTTAGCCTTGTGCAGTTCCTATACTTTTGGTGCCTAAGAAAGATGGAAAATGGAAGATGTGTTGTGACTCTAAAGCCATAAACAATGTCACCATTAAATATAGGCACCCAATTCATAGATTGGATGATATGTTAGATGAATTACATGGTTCCACTATACTTTCCAAAATAAATCTTAAGAGTGGTTATCATCAAATTAGAATCAAAGAAAGTGATGAATGGAAGACTACTTTTAAGACTAAGTTTGGACTATGTGAGTGGTTAGTGATGCCTTTTGGGCTAAATAATGCATCAAGTTCATTCATGAGGCTAATGAACCATGTCTTGAGGGATTGTATAAGAAAATTTGTAGTTGTATACTTTGATGAAATTTTAGTCTTTAGTAGGAGTCTTAAGTGATCATTTAGGACACTTAAGACAAGTTTTGTTAGTTATTAGAAATAATAACCTTTTTGCAAATGTAGAAAAATGCACTTTTTGTGTAGATAGTGTAGTCTTCTTAGGATTTGTAGTAAGTGCAAAAGGGTTTTAAATCAAGGCCATCCAAAAATGGCCCACCCCTAAAAGTGTTGGAGACATTAAAAGTTTTCATGCCTTAATTAGTTTCTATGGAAGATTTATGCCTGACTTCTCCACACATGATTCACCACTCAATGAGTTAGTGAAAAAGGATGTTGTTTTCCCATGTGTTGATAAACTAGAAAAAAACTTTCCAACTTCTAAAGGATAAGCTCACCCAAGCTCCAATTCTAGCTTTGCTTGATTTTTCAAAAACATTTGAGCTAGAATGTGATGCATATGGGATTGGGATATGTGTTGTGTTGTTACAAGGAGGACTCCCAATTGCTTATTTTAGTGAAAAACTACATGGTGCCTCCCTTAGCTACCCCACATATGATAAGGAGCTCTATGTTTTAGTAAGGGCCCTTCAAACTTGGGAACAGTATCTTGTATCTAAAGAGTTTGTTATTCATAGTGATCATGAGTCACTTAAGTACTTAAGGGTCAAGGAAAATTAAATAAGAGACATGTTAAGTGGGTTGAGTACTTAGAACAATTTCCTTATATCATCAAATATAAAAAGGGAAAAACAAATGTGGTGGCTAAAGCATTATCTAGAAGGCATACTTTTCTTGTTTCTCTTGGCTCTCAAATTTTAGGATTTGAAGATATAAAGGAATTGTATAAGAAAAACCAAGACTTTGCTAGTCTCTGTGAAGAATGCACACACAGGGCACAAAAATGATTCTATATATATTTTTGAGGGGTACCTGCTTAAATAGAGAAAATTATGTATACTTTAAGGATGTATTAGAAAACTTTTAACAAAAGAGAGTCATGAAGGTGGACGCATGGGACATTTTGGAATAGATAAGACCCTTACCATACTAAAAGAAAATTTATTTTGGCCCATATGAAAAAGGATGTTCAAAGACATTGTTATAGATGTATAACTTGTCTTCGAGCTAAATCTAAAATAATGCTTCAAGGTACATACACACCTTTACTTATATCCATTTCTCCTTGGGTTGATATTAATATGGATTTTATCTTAGGACTTCCAAGAACCCAAAGAGGAATGAATTCTATATTTGTAGTAGTGGACTATTTTAGTAAAATGGCACATTTTATTCCTTGCCACAAAATGGATGATGATGGTAGAGGAATAGCCAAGGGACCATCACTAGGATCATGGCTAGGAAGATGCAAGAGGATTGAGTCTATGTTGAGGTTAGTAGACCTAAGCTTCTCCTGGGTTGGGCTATTACCTAAAGACTAATACTTCTTATTTTGGGCCATATATTATGGGCCTATTAGTGTAGAGTTTTTGACCTTACTAAGGCTTGTATTTTGTGTCTTACTAATGTTATAAGTTTCACCTCTTGAATTAATGAAAAATTGATTCAAAATCATGTCGTAAAATTAAAAATGATCATTATTTTAAAAGGATCAAATTGATTTAAATAAAAAAGATAAAGTACTAAAATGAACATTTTAATATATAAAAGACTAAAATGAATCCAAATAATAAGTTAAAGGACTAAAATTATAATTTAGCCAAATTTTATCTAATTTAAATATATTGAGAAAAACCTAAAATAAATAGCATCCAATTGAGCAGTAAATATTTATTAAAGTAATGTCCACATTAGTATTTTACGGATACTTTCCTAAAGATCAGGAAGTCGCGCCCCACAAAAGTGGTAAAGAAAATGCAGTACTCTCGTATTACATGCCTTTACTCCTTGAACAGCTTTGAAGCAGCACCAACATCTAGGTACCATTTCAACTCCCCCTCAGGTAAAATCAGTTCAACAGGCAATTTATCAGTCTTCTCATCATCCTCTAGTGCAGAGTAAACAGCGTTTGCTTTACCCTCACCAGTCACCACCATAACTATGTTTGAAGATGAATTGATTACTGGGAAGGTAAAAGTGATTCTCTCTGGTGGTGGCTTTGGTGAGTCCTTTATGAAAGTAACCCATTTATGATCTTCCTTCAGATGGGGGTGCCCAGGGAATAAAGAACCCACATGCCCATCTGGGCCCATACCCAACAACATGAGATCAAGCTTCGGAAATCCCCTAGTTGATGTTTCTATCACATTACTTTTCATCAACCGTTTCAGAGTTGTTTCATAAACATCAGCTGCTCCATCAGCTGGCAAGGCATCATCAATGGCATAAATATTTACCGGAGGAATTGCCACCTTTCAAAACAACAATGAAAAAGGTGAGTTTTTAATTAATTGCTTCACCATATGTGTGTAAATCCAACGAGAGTTTCTTATGAGTTCATGGAATAAAATCTGGTTCTTGTATTTTTTTTTTTTTTTTTATCATTGAAGTACTAAAAACTAAGATCTTTTCGTATAAAAGGAAGAAAATGAGTCTACTTTGCAAACCATAACACAAGTTATCTTTGTTTTGAAAAACAATTATAAAAAAATTAATTCTACATCACATTGAGAAACTCATAAAATTAAAGTTCATTAAGAAATCAAAATGGTTAAGAAAAACTGCATAACGTCCGCATAGAATTTAATTAATTGTAATATACTAGTAGTTTAAAAAAAATTATACTTTCTTTTAATTATGAATTATTATGTAATTAAAAATTATTAATTTTTATAATAATTATTTTAAAAATTATACACAATATATAAAAAAAAAACTCTTATTATATAAATAATGTAACATTAATCATATTAAAATGAGTCTGAGAGAAAGTTCAATTATATAATGTAAAAATTTGAGCATCACAATCAAAATAATGAATTTTAATTAAATTATAGTCATTAATTCTTCTTCAAGCTAAATAATATAGGGCATATAAAAGTCAAATCAAATACCTTAGAGAGAAAGCCGTCATAGGCAAGCTTGTAATTACTTTCTAAGTTATCCTTTGGCACGACTCTCTCGTCCACCCAGAAAACATGCCATTTTGACCACTCTATGGAATCGATATAGGGGGGTTCAACCAATTTCCTGAAATTTCAACATAAAAAGCATGATAAAACTTTGCTCGTATTACATACTACAAATGTGGTGGCAATTCAGGTTTGAGTCCTGGCATCATGCATGTCGATCGGTAGTATTATTATTGGTTTAATTTATTAAAAATAATTACTTAATTTTTAAACTTGTTGAGAAAATTATTTATTTTCAATAAAGACACTGTCAAAAATATTTCTAAACTTGTATTTAATTTGAATGATACTCACCTGAGATACTTGATGAGTGACCCACCGGACAAAACAACAGTGAAAGCACCTCTCTCTCTTGTGAATTTGTTAGAGAGCTGAGCAACATCATAAGCCAATGACACAGCAAGATGCTCCTTACTGAAGACCTCAACTTTTTTGTAGCCCTTTTCCCACTTAATTGATGCCTTGATTTCGCCAGCACCTCTCTTGGGAGAAAAGCCTTTGTACCTTAGAGGTTGGTGGAAGAGTTTCTTCCCAGGTGGGAATAACGATGAGGTCTTTAGGGATTGTGGATTTGATTTTTGGGCACACAATATGCTACTTTGGAGAGTGCAGTAGGAAGTAGAGAAAGCTACTGAGAAGGCCATTTAGATTTGGGTTTTTGAGGAACCTTCGATTCATTTGGGTGTTCGGTATACATTTTTATTATTCATATTATATTCTTTTCCAATGTTGGAAGTAAAGCAAAAAGTATGAATCCATTTGTTACTTCACGGCAAGAATCAAGCAGAGAAGATGCTTTGAATTATGTTATCTACACACCTATACATTAATACATGTACGTACAAGAAAAGTGCAGGGATGAAGTTACTTTATAAATAACTCTAAGTGAAATTAGTAGTATTTAATAACTTTTTCGACATTACTAGAATTTTTCTTATTACATACGATTTTTTATGTGAATTTTGTATAAAAATTTGCATGAAATGTTATTCTTACGATTTTTTTTGTGAAATTTTTTCTCCAAGTAATATCTTATTGGATAATATGTTTTTTGCGAATTTTAAAATTCGCAAGAAATTTTCCTATAAAATTTCTTGTGAAAAAAAATCGCAAGAAAATTTTCTATGAATTTTTTGACAAGAAATTTTATAGAAAAAATTTTTACAAAAAAATTATTGCAAAAAGTTTATTGTGAATTCAAAATGCGGCATAACTTTTTAAACTTTTATATCGCAAATTATATGTCTAACATTCAACCATACAAAATTATATTGTAGTTTGGAAACGGCCCGTTCTGGGATATTAAATCACTCTTATTGACTTTGAGTCTTTGTATAATCTGTGAAAATTGGGGTGTTACATAACTGTCCTTTAATTTGACTCCTCCATTAAAAGCCAATAATGCATAAATTTAAAATTTATAACGATTATATCAATTCTGATTATGAGCCACTTAATTGTTATATTCTAAGAGTAATGTGTCACTAAAATTGTATAGTTCATCAAATTAGCATCTACTAATTCTTTAGTTTTAATGTTTATTCGTACTTAAATTATGTGAAATTTAGTAACATGACATTTAAAAATTAAAAAAAAAAAAGATTGATGACAACATGCAAATAATATTTTTATTAATAAAATAAAATATCAATCACTCATAAAAATAGATACAAACGAAGATATTGTGTATGTTATTTTTTTAATTTTTATCCTTATATGTCACATTACTTAAGTGATAACAGATTACAAAATAACATCAAAATTCAATTATCAATGAATATCAAATTAATGATAAAATCAAAATTTTGTATTTTTAAAAATAGAGTGACTAAATGTCTTTGTTTTAAAATTGAATGATGACTAAAATCATGGATAAAAAAAATAGAGGGATCAAATGACAACGATGTAAATTTTATTGTTTAATACATGCTCAATAACTTTATATTAAATGTGAATTTTGTCGATCTAACCATTAAATTACAAATTCATATCACCTTGTATATTTATGTCAATTTTTCTTTAAAAATTGAATAACAATTAGAAAGTAATCAAATTATTCATATTTTAGTATATTTTGAAAAGTATATATTACATCAATCTTGATTTATACGAATGAGATATCAAATAATCTTGATTGATATAAAATTTTGTATATATGGTATAAGAGTGAGAAACTTTCATTAATCTAATGATAAGTTTTTAAAAAATACTCATTTAATTAAAAAAATTATTGAGCAGTGTAATAGTTGATAAAAGTTATACCAATATCATTTGATATCGGGTACCAACTATTATACCATTTAATAACTTTATATTATAAGAGAATTTTGTCAATCTAAATATTGAATATTATAACTTCATATTACCTTGTATGTTTATATCAAATTTTGTTAAAATTGAACAACAATTTGAAGGTGATAAATTTGTTCATATTTTAATATATTTTAAAATGTATATATTCCATCAATTTTAATATATATGAATGAGATATCAAATCATTTTAGATTAAGGTAAAATTTTGTATATATGATATAGGAGTAAGGAACTTTTAATGTAATGGTGAATTTTAAAAATAATCATTTAATTAAATATTATTTAGTAGTATAATAGTTGATAAAATTTACACCAATATCATTTAATCTCTCTCCATATATATATATATATGAGGGTTTCGTTTACTCGATGAGTAAGTCTACCTAGACTTACTCTGTTCAATAACTCATGCTCTATATCAATTCTCAACGATTCAACCGTTGAATTTTAAGTTCTTAATGTACAAATCAAATTTGCAAATTTTAAAAAAAATTAAAAACCATTGAATACTTCGTTTTATTAATTCAAATTGACAAATAACATGTTTTTATGATTATCCGTCAATTTGATTTAATGAAACAAAGTATCAAATAATTTTTAAATTTTTTTAAAATTTGCATATTTGATTTTTACATTAAGAACTTAAAAATTCAACGGTTAAATTATTGAGATTTGATATAAAACATGAGTTATTGAACGGAATAAATCTAAGTAAATTTATTCCTGCAATAAACATGGATCCCTCCTATATATATAATATATATATATATA